TGCCTCGTGATTTTTTCAATTAAAAAAGTGTACCTTGGCTCAAAAGAGGTTGAAAAACACTGCCTTAGAGGACGAAGCCTATCCGAAATAGACCTTTAGCTCTGCTGCAGCTTTACGCTCATGAATCATTTATTTTGTTTTAAATGTGACTTTTTCCGCCACCAAATGACTTAACAGGGATTTCAAAAATAAAACAGCTTCTGTTTGTTTTCTTTTATTTGTCCAAAAGTATTTTATGTTTCGTACAGCTCATTCTCCATTTCACACATCGTCCTCCTCACAGCGCCTCCTGCTGGTCGCCGTCATCACAGCAGCTGGGAACCGTGCTGAGGTTTCCACGGAGCTGCGCCACAAAACATGGAATCAAACACAAAGTCAGCAGCAGGCTTTCAACTTTTAACAACTTTAATAACGTTAGAATGCGAGGTTGTCCCTGGATCTCCAGAATGAGCTGGTTATGAAGAAATGCTGCTGGAATGAGTGGATGGGAACTCAGAAATGTCACAGTTTAACTAAAATGAACGAAACCTCTCATTGTGGATTCAAGTAAAACACCTAGATGTTGGTTCAAATGACGCCTTCATCAGAACAGTGGAGAAAATGAAAATAGCATTTAAAAGCAGATGTGAGACAGACAGACAGACACGAGGCCTCCAGCTGATTGAAATGTTGCTTTGACTCGTTTTGCGGTGCAGCTGCAGCGTTTCACCGCCTCAGGACCCACATTAAACTAAAGTTGGCAAAATGAAATCTCAGTTTGAAACAAAGTCCAGTTCATCCATGGAGGCCAGCAGATTCTGAGTCCCGACATCCAAACAGCGTCTTTCTGTCAACACGGAATCTGTCCGTTTGTCCTTTCAGCCTTCGCCAAGTCAACATTTGCACAAACACCAAAACAAAGAAAAGGAAAGAACCGTTTCCTCTGGAATCCGCTCCACATTCTTCTTCTTCTCTCAGTGCAAATGAGGTAGACATGACACGTGGAGGCGGCGAGGGCCGGACGGCTCTGTGCAAAAAACTCCGGCCATGAGGAGTCTGTGGGGAACAGCAGATGATTCCTGCTACGGAGGCCCAGAGGGGCAAAAACGGCAGGAGGCGAAAACAAATAATCCTGTGGATGAACTGTGACCAGACAAAGATCTACAGGAGTTCAATACATAAATCATCTGATTCTACATGGTCTTAATAATAATTGAAAAAGTTGTATTAATGTAATTGTATATGGTTTTATGGTTTTTCATTATTGTGATGTTTGTTTTTATTACTTTAAATCAAAATCACATCGAAATGTTTTGTCTATTTTCAGATATTGCCAGAAGTTTTTGGAAAATATGAAACATCAAATTTTAAAAAACAAAATAAAAAAACAGTTCAGATGCTGTGGTGGTGCCGGGCTGAAGCACAACCCACATATTGAGGCCTTGGTCCTCATGCCGGCGGTTGCAGGTTCGAATCCCGGCCTGGAAACATCTGCCTCATTTCCCTGTTTCCTGTCAACTACTTTCAAATAAAAGCCACTAGAGCCAACAAAACCTTTAAAAAAAAGTTCTAAAGACGGTTTTAGAATTTTTAATTCAACTCTTCATGACGCAAATCACAGTTTTCTCCCAGTTCTTTAAATATAAATCTCTTAATTTATGCAAATGTTTTTAAAACATTTTATTGTGATATTTTGTTTCAGCTTCCATTTCCATTTTAATTACTTTACAAACTAATTTTCTAATGGTTTTTATTCATTATTGTTTTTTAGCAGATGGAGAAAAAAACTAAAAGAACTTCAGTTTGAAAATAAGTTTCTAAACAAAATGTAAAAAAAAATTTAGATTCAATTTAATTCAAATATTTGTCAATATATTATGATCCGGTTTTTAACATTTAATCTTAAGGCAAGAATCGTTATTTTAGCCAAAATAAATGGAAAAATTAGATTATACTGAGCTCATCCACAGGATTATATGATCGTTAATCTCTTAGGGCTCCGTGTTTTACAGTGCTCCAGGGAAAAACTTGGACTAGACCAGGAAAGAACAACAAAAACATGGCACAAATGTAGTGAACTCATCTAAAGTCTGTTGCACTGCGGACGCTTCGAGATCTCACAGCCCCGCCCACAGCCAGAGGCCCCGCCCTGAGACCTCATTAGGAATGCTGGGAAATGTAGTCCTCCTGGAAATATTTAATTCTTATAGTTCTATCACAGTAACATTGCGTTTATTTCCCAACTAGTGGTCAACATAGGCAATGACATCTTAACATAAATACTCCGACTGCAGCAGTAGTTATTATGGGATGGCGTCTGCCTGCTTCTAGTACAAATTGGCTTAAATCACGTGACAAAATAATCATTATTACTTATTACAGTCTTAAAGTTAGTGCTTCTATGTACAACAATAATAACACCAGTCAGAGTGTTGAACAGCGCCCCCATCAGGACACCTGCCTCACCTGGTGTCACAGCTCTATAAATAGGTAGTGTGCATCACTGTACAGCGACTCCATGCGGCCGTCTGACCTGCAGAGGCAGACGGACCTGTTTGATGAGCCGTTGGTGCTGCGTCCACACACACACACACACACACACACACACACACGGCGGCTTCTGATTGGAGGACAGGTGTGCAGGATTCCCGGTTTGCTGGGTCCTCAGTCAGATGATCCTGTTAGTGTCTCTGATCTCTGCATCCAGCAGGAATTACATCATCAACATTCCAGCTGAAGTTATTTAATCCTGAGGATTAATGTTGCTCACTGATCTGGGTCCTCCAGGATCCGACCGGTTCGCTAGAAAAGTTCCGACTGGGGATCAGAACGAACGAAACCTGCAGACGACTCCAGGTCCTGAACCCGATCGTTTTGGGTCAACCTGGCAGAGAACAGCAGCGGCATCAACGCTGCCCCCTGCTGGACGCCCGTATTTACACACGTCCACATCAGCTCTGCCCCGGTCTCTGTGCAACTCAGCGGGTCGGAACCAACAGAGGAGATATCTGGATCAGCAACACGACTCGTCAGGAACGTCTGGGTTCCTGATGATGTCAAGGCTTCTGAGCCACGAGGGATCGACGGTCTGAGGACCGGGCCTCCTGAGGTTCTGATGAACATCGCCTTCAGTTGGACCAGACCGTCGGGTTCTCATCTCCGGTCCCTCAGGGCCAACTGCCTGCTGTCTCTGGAGGAGCTGCAGCTCCAGGACGCTCCTCAGAGCTCAGTAGATGGGTGGTGTTCCTGTGGTGTGAAGCGCCTGGTGGAGCGTCCTGGAGCGCCGCTTCCTCGGACCGCTCGGAGACGGCTGCTGACTCCCAGGAGCTGCTGAGCGCCACGTGGCCCCTCTGTGACGCCACCTGGTGGCTCCTGGGAAGGCCGCAGGCGGACGTCTCAGGAGAAGGACAGGTTAGAGCCGTTGGAGATGTGGGAGGTGACAGAGGTGCTCCGGCTGAGCCCCCCGTCGCCGGCGACGCCCCCACCAGGGCCTCCGGACGCCGTGCGCCTCAGCGGCTGGGGGCTGTTCCTGAGGGTCAGGCCGGGGCCGCGGACGCCCAGGCCGCCGCCGTAGCCGCCCTGCGAGGAGGAAGAGGAGGAGGCAGAGGAGGCGGGGGAGGAGCAAGAGAAGGAGATGGGGGGAGGCGCGGCGGGAGGCAGCACGGCCAGCGACTGTGAGGAGGCGTGGTAGGAGAGCTGCTGGAGGCCCCGGGCATGCTGGGAGTAATGGCCACCGGAGGGCCACTCCCGGGCCTGGCGCTCCCGGCCGTCGCGCTCGTCGCGGTACAGCTGCGGCGTGCTCTGGTGGTGATGGTACAGCTGCTGCTGGTGGTGAGAGGGGGCACGGGCTCTCGGCTCGGGCCGACCGAAGCCGGCGCCGTGGTTCTGGCCGCGCCAGGCCGGGCCGGCCGGCGAGTTCTGGAGGCCGTGGCTCCAGTGGCCGCCGGAGCGCGGGACGGGCCGGGCTGGCCAGCCTCCGGGTCCGGCGGCCGGGCCTGGCGGCGGGTAGCCGTCGGCGGCGCCCAGCGCCATGCCGCTGAAGCCCAGCCGCAGGCTCTCCGAGTCGAACGCCTCCACCTCCCGGGCCTGGCGCTCCAGCAGTGTCCGGATCCGCTCCGACCGCTCCGCCTGCAGCGCCACCATCTCCTCCTCGATCTGTGGGGAGAGGTTGGTCAGAATGGGTCAGAACCGGGTCAGTAAGGGGTCAGGACGGGTCGGAGCCGTACCCTCTGCTCCAGCAGCGCGCGGCGCAGCGCCACCCGCGCCTCCAGCTCCTGCGCCTCGCGGTCGTGCGTCCCGTCCGTGTGGATCTTGATCTTGCTCTGGTAGGCGTTGAGCAGCTCCAGCTCCTGCTGCAGCTGCAGCCGCAGCGCCTGCTGCTCTGCCTCCTGCGTCTCGTCCAGCCGCAGCTGCAAGGACAAATGCCGGGTCAGAACCTGCAGGTTCGGCTAGGGGGCGATACGGCGGCCCAAATGGATTTGTGTTAAAAAATGTGAATTTGAAAATTTTATGAGAATTTGGTTATTGGCATGTGATAAAATACAATCATTTAAAATTTAGCATTTCTCACAACTATAAACCACTGCTGCTTTTCCATAAAAACCATTTAAAACAAACACTCAGCCTGGCAGGGGTAATTGAAGCCTGGGGGCCTGCCAGGCTGAACCTGGATCAGGACAGGTCAGAAGCAGCTCCCGGGTCAGAACCAGTCACAAGCGGCTTGCCTTGCTGACGGCCTGCGTGGACAGCATGTCGTTGACCGAGTGGTCGTACTGCTCGGCCAGGATGGCCAGCTTCCGGGTCTGCTCGTCCTTCAGCCGCTTCAGAACCAGCTTGTGTTCGGACCGGGGCGTGGTCTCCAGCAGGTGGTTCCGGAGCGCCTTGTACTGCCGGGTCTGGATCTTGCAGGTCTCCTGGAACTGCCTCTTGATCTGGACCTCTTTGGACTGAAATGAACACAGACGGGTTAGAATCGCTCTGGGGCCCGGCCCGGCCCATGGTTCTGACCCGGCTACCTTGAGGCTCTTGGGCTGCTGCCGGACCTCCACGGCGTGTTTCTGCCGCAGTTCGTCCTCGCGCCGCTTGTTGTACTCCATCTGGTTGGTGAGCTCTGTCTGGTGCTGGGTCCGGATCAGCTCGGCCCGGGTTCTCTGGACCGAGCCGAGCTGCCGGAACTCCAGCTCCTGGGTGGATTCGTGGTGCCGCAGCAGCATTGCGCACTCCAGGTCCTTCTGGATCTGCTTCTTGTTCAGCTCCTGGGGCGACAGCAGGGTTAGGGAGGCAGCGGGTCCGGATCGGGTTCTGCAGCGGTTCTGGAGCGGCCCTACCTCTCGCAGCAGGTCCTGCTCCAGGTTGTGGCGAGCCAGCAGCATCTTCCTCTTGTACTGGCGGCACTGCAGGTCATAATACTGCCTCTGGCGCCGCAGCAGGCCGGCCTCCTCCTCCGCCATCAGCTGCTGCATCACCTCCTTCTGCTGGATCAGCCACTCCTGCTTCTCCCTCTTGGGGGTCGACTGGTTCTCACTCAGCTCCTGGGGAGGGGGGCAAACCCGGATCAGGACCAGATCAGAAACTGAGCCGGATCAGGGACTGAGCCGGATCAGGACCGGATCAGGGACTGAGCCAGGATCAGGACCGGGACTGAGCCGGATCAGGGCCAGGACCGGATCAGAGACTGAGCCGGATCAGGGCCAGGACCGGATCAGAGACTGAGCCGGATCAGGGCCAGGACCGGATCAGGGACTGAGCCGGATCAGGACCGGATCAGAGACTGAGCCGGATCAGGGGCTGGGCCGTCTCTTGATCCTCATCCGGCTCCGGGTCTTACCTCCTTCAGCAGCTCCTTGCGGTGGCGGTACTGGCGCTTCTGGGAGTCCAGCAGACAGTTGAGCTCCTTCTTCTGCTGGCCCAGGATCTGCTGCTGGAACTTCTTCTCCTCGGCCAGAGCGGCTTTGACCTGCAGGGTGCGGAGAGCGGAGACGTCAGGCGCCGGGAGCGGCAGCGGGAGCGGACGAGCGGCCGAAGCGGACCTCTTTCTCCAGGACGGCCTGGTTCTTGCGGGCCAGCTTGTCGAGCTCGGCGGAGAAGCCGGTCCTCTGGGCGTCCAGCTCCTTGTCCAGCTTCAGCTGGTGCTCGTCCATCTCGGCCTTCAGCTTGTTCTCCAGGCCCAGCAGCTGCTTCTGGTGCAGCTGCCGCATGCGCTTGTAGCCGGACATCTGGTCCCGCAGCGCCGAGCCCTGCTCGTGCTCCTGGATCTGACGGGTCACCTGCGGGACGGCGACACGTCACATACACCTGGAAACGGGCCGGTACCCGTCCCTTCTGGAACCTACCAGGGAGGCGGTCCGGATGGTGGCGAAGTGGTCCCGGTTCCGGTAGAAGGCCCGGCGGCGCCCGGCGGACGGGGCCTGCGGCTGCTCCAGCTCCGGCTGGTACGGGTCGTCGTAGATGTTGTCCTGACCCTGCAGAGGAAGGAGGGGTTAGAGAGGGTCCGGTCTGGTCCGGACCCGACCCGGGCCCTGGGCTCACCGTGGGGCGGTGGATGATGGAGCTGTTGGAGGTGACGGTGTTCTCGCCCTCCTGCAGGATGGCCATGTCGCCGCTGCTGTCGTCGGAGGCGTCCGCCAGGCTGTTGACGGAGCTGGACTGGGAGCTGGCCGAGATGGACATACTGGGAACGGACTGGGAGCTCTCCATGCTGTTCACCGTGCCGCCCTGCAGCAGGTAGGGCTCCGCCTCCTAACAGACACACACCATGAGGGCGGCACAGCAACCCGACCCGGTTCTTGTGCCTCAGAACTAGGGCTGTATAATTAAATCGATTCTACGATATTTATCGATTTTTCATCCATGAGTATCGATACGTTAAACCAGAGGGGCCCATAGGGTCATAGGTCGTTTGTGACGGCTTGGCAGCCAGACTCCGCCTCCCTCAGTCCCACTTTCAACCTGTGCTTAAAGAGCACATTATAAACTACACACCAGTTTTTAAATTGCGTTAATAGGCCAAGTAAAATATCAAAAACCGGCTTTTCCGGTTATGTGACAGGAAATGAGCTTCCAAAGGCAAAAACGCAACATCAGATTATTTTGTTATTGGAAATCTATCTCACATCTCCAACAAATAATTATGTATTTTGTTGCTAAGAAACAAAGTAAAGCTGCTCAAGTAACAGTGAAAAAGAAGCGGATCGGAGCAGCGGCAAAAGCAGAGAGTTCGCGAAATTAACGCAAAGTTTGGATACCGGAGCGATCGGTGGCATCCGCTTGGTGATTTATTTATCTGTCTGTATGTAAAGGATTACCTGAAGAGTCAACGCGCAGCAGCAGCGGCGCTCTGCTTGGAGCTGGAAGACGGAGAGGGGAAACCCGCAGCCATGACGACGATGGCAGATCAATCATTCTTATTGGTAACTGACAGAGTATCAGAGACTGAGAGAACGATGAGAGGCAGATACTCAGATACACAAGAGGGGAACGGCGGCGCTGCAGCTGCCAGGAGCCGATCACTGTGGGGTCAGGCGGAGCCGCTCCGCCAGCAGCTAGTAGTAAACATCTTACAGCCACGGCAGAAAAGCCTTTTATAGCACCAAAGACCTTTTTCACCCCTCCCCAACACACAATTATTCATTTTTGGCATCTTGTTTTGACCTGTGATGTTTTGTCAAAAATTGTACACAAATGAGGAATTGCCTTCATTTTCATGCTGATAATGTTATAAAACTCTGCAATATTTTTACACCAGGTTAAGAAATGTACGGTATACATAGTCATTCTAAATTTTAAAAACCATTCGTTATGAAAATTTGAACGTTTCACAGTGGAAAAAAATCAACATTTTTCCAAATTGGATTTTGTTTTTCTGTGACTCGACGTCCAAGATGCAGCCACAGGATGTGGAAAAGAAAAAACATAAGTACTGATAAGGCTGATAATCTCCCCACTCGGCTCCCAGATCACTGCTGGAACTTTGAGTTTTATGTCAAATCCACATGAATTAAATGACAGAAACTAATTTTTTCACTGCATCTTAAATTCATTTTGTCCAGCTGTAGGTCTCTGTCCAATCAGAGCCAGGTATTATGCAGTTGGTGCTTTTAATCAGTTTTCAGCTAATTAAATCCAACTGAAAACTGATTAAATCCAAGTCTATGGAACACAAAATGTCACCAAAATCCCCCTATCCCTCTAAAATCGTTCAGAAAATCCTAAGTGTATTGAATCTATTGTTTTCCAAATATCGTGTATTGTATCGCGAGATTACTCAGATCCCGGAACGGCGCTACCTGAAGACTGATCCAAACTCTGAACCACAGCCTGACCTACTGGACAGGTGAGAAGCCCCCTGCCAGCTGAGGGGGAGGAGCCAGGAGCAATTAACCAATCAGAACTCAGTCATCTCTGTTGCTGGGCAGATCCCCCTCTGCGATTTACAGTTGTGTTCAAAATAACAGCAGTCCCACAGCACTAGCCAGATAAATCACCGCAGTAAGTTTCTAGAAGTTTAGTAAAGGTTTAGAAAACCAACAGACCCAACAGCCTGATGTTCATGCTGCTGATGCTGTGAAACGAATCATTTACCGAAAGATAGCACTGCTGAGTTCAATCAGTGATTATGGGAAATAAGCAGGTGGCCCTTATGTAAGGATCAAGGCAACTGATGCTGCTGGATGTGGATCTGATCTGGGAAAAACAGAGTAATGGGTCATTAAAGACACTGTTCAGAAGAGGAGAGCTTTTGATCAAAAAATAATAGAAGAGGCAAAACTTATAAAAAATTGTAGAAAATAGACTGTTCAGATAAAATGGTATCAGATGCTTTAAAACAGCAGTTAAAACCAGAAAGTTGAGGAAGAAAAAGAAAAACAGCTATCGGAAAGGATCGGAGAATAACCAAAATGGCAAAGAGGAAATCAGCCAGTGATCGGCGCCAGTGATCGGCGCCAGTGATCAGGGCCAGTGATCAGGGCCAGTGATCAAGGCCAGTGATCAGGGCCAGTGATCAGGGCCAGTGATCAGGGCCAGTGATCAAGGCCAGTGATCAGGGCCAGTGATCAGGGCCAGTGAATGGCTCCAGGAGAATCAACGAACATCTCCGATTTGCTGCAACAATCAGACGACGTCGATGTGAATCCAAGCTACCAGCAAGAAGCCCCTGCAAAGTCCCACTGTTAAAAATAGACCTGAGCTGAAGCAGCTACAATTTGCCAAAGAACACATTGACTGGCCTAAAAAGAATGGCACAATATTTTGTGGACTGATGAAAGTAAAATTGTTCTTTTTGGTTCTAAGGGTCACAGACAGTTTGTCAGACGTCCTGCAAACTGAATTCAAGTCAAAGTGAAGACAAACACGGTGGTTCAAGCATCATGATATGGGATGTTTCTCATGGTGTTGGTCCCATTAATCACATACCAGGGATCATGGATCAGTTTGAGTAAAACTGGAAGAAGTCATGTTGCCGCATGCTGAAGAGGAAACGTCCTGGAAATGTTTGTTTCAACAAGACAATGACCCAAACTCACAGCAGGCAGCAAAACCATCAGACAAACAAAGTAACGGAGAGGGCAGCACAATCCCCAGACCTTCATCCATAGAAAACCTGACATAAAAAATGCTGTTCATGAGGCAAAACCAAGAAACACAGAGGTACTGAGGAACATGGTGCAGCAGAACCTGCTGACCGGCACCAGAAGCTGGTCAACTCCATGGACCACAGAAGTGAAACCGTGTTTATGCAACTAAATATTAGTTTATGATTCTCAGGAGAGATGAATCTTTCAGCATTTCTTAGTTTGTTTTTGAGTTTGTAAAGAAATATGTCAACACTGCTATTTTTGAACATTGTATTTCTTCACTTTCTGTATAATATTGTAATATTCAATTACTTACTAATTACTTGGCTTTGAAATAAAATGTGCAGTGTCCCCAATGCATTTGTGTTCATTAAAACTAGGGCTGAAACGATTCCTCGGATGATTCGAGTTCCTCGATTATTAAAATTACTTGGTTAAAATTTTCCTGCCTCTCAGCTTCGTTAGTTTATGTTTTATCATTTAGCGCGCCGTGTTCCGGCCGGAACATTATTTACGTTGCGCATCACTCTGACTTCCGCCTCTGGGTTGTGACGTAAGCTAAGAGCTATCATCATAACGTCCAATCTTCAAGTTCGACCCGCGGGGATTTTACTGATTAATGATAATTTCGGGTTTCATCATTTTCGGGGAACCAATAAACTTCCTTAAATAACCGGAGCGATCCGGGAGTCCGGCAGCTTTTCTGCTCCGGAGCTGCTGGTTCAGAGCTGAGGAGGATTTCTACAGGCAGAGACTGAACACGGCGGGCGGCTGATGCTGACCAACCGGAAAATGAATGTCACGTCATCCCGGTCTGAAGCAACGGGAGGCGGAACATGGCTGGTAGAGGAGGAGCCGTAAATATCCCGTTTTGCCCCCCCG